GAGCCTGGAGAGATCGCCGACATTGCGCAGAACCGGTAGTCGGCGGTGCACATCGCTTGTACGTTGATGCCGTACGCGGACTTGTTGCCGGAGTAGTACGCGATGACGTTGGCGGTGTCCTTCGCACACGGAGCCTTGGCCTTGATGAACAGACCGTCCACGGCGGCGACGACCCAGCAGAAAATGCCATCGGTGCTCTTCCCCTGCATTTATAGACGGCAGACAAGAGGGCGGGAAAGTAGCAGTGCCGGGAAGGGGAAAAAAATTAGTCGAGAGATGGACGTTGACGAACTTCGGTAAACTGCGTTCGGCTGTACGTTGTGTGGGTTGATGTCGTGTACGACGGCGCCATCACCAGCAACGGTGCACATACCGTGTTTGCTAATCCTAATATTGCGTCAGGTTCAGCGGTAAAAATGTACCAGGGTATCTCAGAGCCACGTGGTTGACTAAAAGCAGTTGCCGGGCCACTGTTGCGGGGCGGAACCAACACGGCCAGCATACTAATGATGACACAAAAAAAAACATTTATTTGTAAAAAGACCATTTGTACAAAGACCAACAGCTGGCGAACCACCCGGGACCTGGGCCGGGACCCGGGGGTTGTTTTTCGATTAAAGGCATGCTGACCACGATGACAATCCGAACTTGTATCCGCCGGGGACGACATTTTTTTTCTTGCGTTACCGTCGAAGGCTGTGTATAGGCCTCCCTACACTAAAACGGCTGGAAACGCCAGCCGTAATTAAAAAAAAACGACATCCCGCGGCTGGTCAAGAGAATGTCGCCAAGAATAACCCACAGCAGCAGCAGTAATGACCACCGTTAGGCCTCACCTCGNCGAAGGCTGTGTATAGGCCTCCCTACACTAAAACGGCTGGAAACGCCAGCCGTAATTAAAAAAAAACGACATCCCGCGGCTGGTCAAGAGAATGTCGCCAAGAATAACCCACAGCAGCAGCAGTAATGACCACCGTTAGGCCTCACCTCGAATCTGTTGGCATTTCGCATGCAGCCTTCCTCGGTCAGGGGGAAGTCGAATGCCCCAACCGCAGGCGTCTTGTTGATGGCGTCGATCACCGACCACAGGATCTGGTACGTGGTCGGCACCGACAAGCCAAACATGAGGGCAACATCCCAGTAACTAGCGCCAGCCAGGATCCTCAACGCCACGGCAACGCGGACTTCTACAGCTATGGCGCCGTTGATAGGCGATCGCAGTGCTGTGGGGTTTCGGAGCGACGCCCAGATAATGTTCAAAGGATGAGCGTGTGTCGGTCAGGAAATATGTACCAGTGTCATAGGGGGTGTATTTGCAATCGCCAGCGTCAAAGGACGCATGTCATCGTTAAACTCGCCAGAGTACCGGCCC